AGGACTAGCATGAGGAGGGGGAGGAGCAAAAGTGGAAGACCTCAAAGGTGAGGATCCCTCCAAGGGAATGGGGGTAACTGTGGAGGGCTCGACACAAGACTCAACTGGAGTTGGCAAAGGAAGGGATGAAGAAAACAACTCGAGAGATCTCTCCCCCTTAGAAGGATGGCTATAAAAAGGAACCGACTCTGCAAAGGTGACATCCATGGAAACAAACCAGGTGTCACTAATGGGACCAAAACAATACTCGAGAAACAAGTGCAACCAAAGACCCTTAGAGGAATAGAGAAAATCTCAACACCAGGAAAGAGGACTCTAAAAGGAGATTTTAACCCCAAGACTCGAGAAGGCATGCGGTTAATAAGGTAGGTAGCTGTTAAAACTGTATCACCGCAAAACTTCACAGGAACATGGGTACCAAAAAGAATGCTCATTGCAACTTCCACAATGTGTCTGTTTTTCCTCTTCGCTACTCCATTTTGTTGTGGAGTGTGGGCACAAGAACTCTGATGAATAACCCCAAGCGTCTCAAGATAGGAGGTAAGGTCCTTCTCAAAATATTCCTTAGCATTGTCTAACCGGAATATTTTGATGTGGGTATTTTGAGTATGTGTTCATGGAACTGTTGCACTAGTTTAGGCACTTCAGCCCGAGAGCGCATAAGGTAAATCCAAGTATGTCATGAAAAATCATCAATAAATAGGGTAAAATATTTATGCCTACCCATACATGGTAAATGGTAAGGCCCCCACACGTCAGAGTGAACAATATTAAAAGAAATAGTTGATCTTTTGTTACTTGAAGGATAAGTGCTCTTACAATGCTTTGAGAACTCACAAGACTCACAATGTAGACTTGATAGACTAATTCCTTTAAATAACTCGGGAAACAATTGACTCAATGAAGAAAAGGACAAATGACCCAAACGATTATGACATAACATAATAGGACTAGTGGACTCTAAAACAAATGCAGTTCTCTTAGGTTGTACTTGGCTCTGTTCAGGCATGTCTAACAGATAGATCCCATTTGCCTCATGGCCACTCCTAATCACCTTTTGAGATTCCATGTCCTGAAAAACACAATATGAAGGAAAAAAGGTCATGCTGCAATTCATGGATTTAATCAAATTACTAACTAAAAGCAAATTGGTATTAAGGTTAGGTGCATGATGAACAAATGGTAAGGTCAGGGCATTAGAGGTCTTAATGTCTCCCTTTCCCATGATAGGGGCTAGGGAGCCATCAACAAGGGATATCTTGTCCTGACTAGAAAGAATTTGGTAAGAGGTGAATAACTGTGAAACACTAGTTATATGGTCAGAAGCACTAGAATCAATTATCCAAGGGGTTTTATGAGTACTTAAGATAGAAGTATGATGTGCAGTGGCACGAATAACTAAGTGAGCAAATGTAGAGGAAGGAACAATCTCTGAAGGAGCTGTAGCAGTCGACTCCAAGTGATTGATGATTCGACCATACTTCTCATATTTAGCCTTGGCGGTTGCAAGCTGTTCTCCCACTAACTTCTTTCCACCCTGTCCTTGTTCACCTTGTGAAGAGGTGCCTACATTTTCATTTCCACCTTTTCTAGTTTCAACCCTTTTTCCACCATTTTCTTTCTTGAACCTGACAAGAACGAGCTTTGGATGCAGCTTCCAATATGTATCTTTAGTGTGTTTAGGCTTCTTGCAGTATTCGCAGATAACATCTTTCTTCCCAATGCTAACCTTCAGCTTCATCCCGGCATTAGCATAGTGATCAACCTATGACGCAATAGACTGAACCTGTCTTCTGCTCTCCTCATTGCTCACCATAGCATATGCCTGAGACAAAGTCACCTCATCCTTTTCTAAAACATTCTGCCTTACAATATCATAGTCCGAGTTGAGTCTGGTGGGGAACTTAAAGACCCAGTTTCTCTCCACCAACCTCCTATATGTTTCTTCATCCTTTGTGCAACCCCAAACAATAGTCTCCATCAGATCAATCTCTTGCCAAAGAGATTTCAGCATAGAGAAGTAGACTGCTAAGGGCTTCTCCCCTTGTCTAAGATTATTCACATCATGCTTCAATTTGTAGGCCTGAGCAACACTAAGCTTTTGGGAATAGGTCTCTGTGATGCTATCCCACATATCTTTTGCAGTTTCCATCCACAGGTAATCTTGACTAATGTGTGGTTGCATAGAATTCACTAACCATCCCACTACTGTGTAGTGTTTCTGCATCCACCTTTTATAGGTAGGATCATCCTCCTCTGGTTTCTTCTTGCTCCCAGTAATATAACCCCATTTTCCTTTACTACGCACATGTATCTTAATAGATTGAGACCAAGCTAAATAATTGGTCCTGTCTAGCTTCACAGTAGTCACAACCCCAAAAAGATTCTCCACTGACCCCCCCATGTCCAAACCTGGAATTTGTGGAATATTTGGTCTCTCCTCCAGTTTGCTCCATTGAGTAAACAAATGCAAACAAATATCAAATTAGGGCTTTACTAGGCTAGATTTACTGTTCTAAGCAAAGAACAACCTTTCAACCCCCCAAAATTAGGGTTTCACAGGGTCCTGAGGGATGGAGAGAAAGAGAGAAGCTTCAACTACCCCTTCCAGAGGTTACAGAATTCAATCCAACCAAAACTGCCCCTAATAGAAATCAAAAGGCTTACCTTTGATCCCCAAGCGCCTGGTTCAAACTGTCTCTACGACCTATAACAAGGTTTCTCCACTTATCTAGGGTTTTCGGGAAAAATCTCCAAGAACCTGCCCTGGACTTCAATTAAGGATGAAAAACCTCCACAAAACTCTCCAAAAACCTTCTTAACTAGGCTGCATAAGCAGCTGATTGATCAACCGATCAGTTCTCCATACACACTATATATGGGCAAAGAAAGGAGAAAAAAGTCGTAAGTGAGAAACTGCTCTGATACCAAGTTGAAAATTACACCTACAGTAATTCAGATAATGCAAGAAAAGAAGAAAAAAGAGAGAAAGAAGAAGAAAGAAGTTTCAGCAATAGGTTATGGAAGAAGAAAAGAAGAATTCAAACCTTTCTCTCTAGCCCCCATTCATCACTTTTATTAATAATTCTAAGTCTGAGTACAATCACTTGGATGCCCTTAATGGGGCGGCCAACACTAAAGAAATAATTAAAGAATACTAAGGCCCATTTGGCCCATTCTCACTACATTCTTATTTTGATTTTTTTTCATTAATTAGTTGAAGATTTGACGACATTATTTAATTACTCATTTCAAACTGCAATCTCGTTTTGTTTTTCAAATAATTTATTAAAACAATTTCTTATTAGTTTCACAAAAGTTGTACTTGGCACGGGTACGTTGTTTGGAACTTTTTTATAAAATAATGTCGTTTTGTACTCTCTTTCTAGGTAAACTCATTTGTTTCTGGAAACTTGTCTGCAAGGTAAGATTGGGTTTACCACTCAAGGTTCTGGTACTGTACCATGTAGATTGAACTTGGGATGAGGCTCCTCTTGTACATGATTAGTTTTCCATTTCAGATTAAAAGTAAAATGAATATTTACATCAAGTTGGAAACCTTCATGCTTCGAGAGAAAAGAAAATAAAGGGAAAAAAGATGGGGTGAGCAGAGAGATTGTTCTGATATAAATTCATATATATGCAGAGTTTATATTGTTTTTTTGTCACTCACTTAGTTAAAAACAATTGATACTACAAGTTAGATCAATAAAAGCATCTTCATTGCAAGGAATTGTGAGGCCACCCAGTGGAGGATAGAACCCAAACTCTTCCACAGCTTGGTGTAACAAGTCCTGGAATAGAGGATGGTTCAAGTAGGATATCATCACTAATTGCTCCTTGCTTCTATTTGTTAGGAATTGGGATTTAACCCAAAAGGGAAAAAAATAGGATTTAAAAAATTTTAAGTAGTTTACATGTGACATTTCATTGATGGAGGGTTTGTTTTGGTCCGTTGGGGTCAACATATAATATATATTTAAGTCTATTTGGAAAACTTGGGGTATGTTTAAGTCAATTTATGAAAACTCGAGGTATGTTTTAAGTCTTTTGCCCTTCTATTTATTGAGTAAAACACAAAAAACTTGGGTGGTGTTTGGAAAGTCTTTCTGTGTGGTCTTCTAGGCTTTGGCAAGAAAATTGGTCTTTCTTCTGTTTGGTAACCAAAAGCTGGTAAGACCAGAAGATGTGTGCATAGAAAAGACCTAAAAAGACCGAAAACGCTGAATTCCAGTAAGTTTCAAGTGAAGCTTTCTGGTCTTTCCATGTGATAAACATCCTCTAAATGCGTTTCTAAAAGCCTGGTAGACTGAGCCACTTGCCAAACAGTCTGTCTTTAAAGACAAGACCACCAAAAGCTCAATATATCTTTTGGCCATCTGGGCTGCTGGAAGATCTTTCTAAAAAGACTTGTCAAACAACACCTTGGTTAACAAATACTCAGGGCCCATTTGGCTTACAGCAGCAAATTTGGTCGAAGCTTTGGTAAAAAAAAGCCTTTTTTTTTGGTTTGCAGCAGCAAATTTGGGCTTTCTGGGTTTTTCACCAATCATTGCTTATAGACTGTCTGGGCGGTGCCAACCTTCCAAAGCTAAAAGCCACTATGAGAAATCCCTCCCAAATGGACACTTAATGTTGTTCTTATGTCAAACTGTATATAAAGTTATGAACTGCAGCTCAGCAATATTAGTAGTTGTAATTTTATTACGAATTACAAAATCCATCCAACTAGATTCTTCTATATGTGATTCATTGGTGAAATCCATTTGCTGTTCGGGCAATCAGACTTCAGACCTGATTTTAAGGACGTCCTTTCTTGTATCTTGTTACATTTTTGGCTTTTAATACCTTATATGCTGTTTTTTTTTGGTTTTGATGAATTATCATTATCATCCAATAGAAAAAAAGAAATACACAAGGAAAAAAAATAACCATGATTGTTCCTTGCAAGATCATGTCTATGGTTGTTATTGGCTCTTTATCTTAATCTCATAATGCAGTTAATGCGCCAACCATGAAACAAAGGGAATTTGGAGGAGTGGATCATGGAGATGATCAAGCATCACTTCTGAATCCTGGACACAAACCATTATCGCAGATTGTTCAAGATGATTCATTTAGAGAGTTTGAATTCAGGCAGTATCTGTTTTCCTGTCAGTCTAAGGTATGAAAATTAAATGCTAATTCTTGTATATTATTTGTTGAATGAATGTAAAATATGAACTGAGGTCAAAATTATTTCCTAAGAGACCAGAAAAAACCTCTGTTGTTTGTCTGAAACTCCACTGTACTGTTCCACAAGTTATCATCTCAAATTCCTTTTAAGGCTAGACAGCCTTGGTCTAAATTCGAGTTAGTTATTTTAGCTGATAGTAGATCCATGATTTGAACTTCCTGGCTGTAAATATTATTTGGTGGGTGGTTCCCCATAGGAATAGATTCTAAGACAGCAAATAAACATACGGTTGAAATGGGTTAGGTAGCCTATCAGTAGGGGTGCTTGGCACATTTATTTTTTGTAATTCTTTTTTAGCAAGCTAATAAAATTCTTGATTGTTATAATCAGAAAAGAAAATAAAGTTTTGAGAGGACATTGATTTTTAGAGAAGGATGGTGGCTGCCAAAGATGGGGAATCAACACTTGGGGGTGATTATATTGATGAATTCTGTTAGTGGCTGACACGTGTGGGCTTATGTTCTTTTATTTCTTATTTAGTTATTGGCCCCGTTTGTGCTTTTAGTTTATAACATGTTAGGTTTTTTTTGACCAATAACTGAAACTTTCATTAATTAAAGAAAGATAAGAGTAGTGCAATACACTTGGAGATAAAGCATCTTATCACCAAGATCAAGAATTAAAAATGAGCCTAAAACAATTGAAGTCTCCCAATTCCTTGATTTGCCAAAGCATCAGCCATGCTGTTTGCCGGTCCTTTGAACCAATGGCTTCACACATCCATTTCCCTAAATAGCCATCTTATCTTCTTTAATTCATTTTGGTACCATAAACCATTCTCATTATTTTGTACCCACTTAACTACCACTTGGAGTCACTTTCTAGAATCAGCTTTTGCACACCTAATTCCTTTGCTTTGACTACCTCTTCCACAACTTCCAATACTTCAGCCCTCAAAGAGTCTCTAGTGCCAATTGAACCCAAGAAGAGTGCCACCATGTGACCTAGCTCATATCCAAAGATGCCTCCTATAACATGTTAAGTTATTAATCAGGGGCACTTATATACATTCTTGTAACTTTATAGTCAGTTCTTAATAAAAGTTTTAGGGCTGGCTAGATCAAGGAAACTCTGCCACCCTTTTTCCTCCAGTTTCTCTTCTCTTTTTCTTCTCCAAACATTTACAGGAAAGCAAACATGGTATCAGAGCCAGTTTGACCAAGTGGATTAATGTTTGATTCTCACTGTCTCCATTATAATTAATTAAATTTCAGCACAAGGTATGAGTGGGCTTGTGCTTGAACATGTTTCAATCCCAATAGGCTTTTGCGTTAGGGGGCATTTTAGAGAATAAAAACCTATTCAGAGACATCATCTAAAGGCTTAAGCTTTTGGGTTGAACATCTCCTTAACATGGTATTAGAGGCAAAACTTTCAAATATGTCTACTGCTTGGATTGATCTTCTCTTTCCTTCTTTTCTCTCTCTTCATCTTCCTTGTATGTTCTTTATTGTTTGGTGTGAAGCAACAATTGATCAATATCTCTTGAAGGTCAGTCCTAGGTTTCTCCTTTGGGTGTAGGGACCAAGGGGGCCTTTTAGCTGTGATTTGTGCTCTACTAGAGATAGATTCAAGTTAGTAGACATTCATCTACTAGGGAGATCTGATTAAGATCAGATCTAGAAGAGGGACTGCATAGAGAAGTCCCAGTTTCAGCTTTGTTGCGGGGGTTAAGGTGCAACCAAAGAAGTTTAGTTGCATATAGAAATAGCTGAGATTTGTAGATGCTTTTGTATTGATTTATGTCATTTCCAACCTTGAAAAGCAAAAAGAGCTGAATTCCTTCTAGAGAAAGGAAAGAGGGTTCTTCCAACTTATGACAATGACCAACCGGACTCCCATTGGCTTGATTTAGGCAATTTTATTCCTGATGACCTTGTTGTTTCCCATTCTATTTTAGATTTTGGTCTTCCCATTGCTTCCTGTAAACCTACTCATTCTTTTACTACTCATCATCCAATTACAAATTATGTTTTCTTATTTTGCTTTGTCTCCTAGCTACTATTCCTTTATTTCTACCCTCTGTTCTATTAATGTCCCTACGAAGTATTCTGAAGTTGTGTCTGATCCAAAGTGGAGAGAGGCAATGAATGAAGAAAGGAAGGCTTCATTGAAAACCAAAACCTAAGAACTAGTGGATTAGAGGGAAAAAGTACCGTGGGATGTAAATGGGTGTTTCTAGCTGGTAGGCCACACTGTCAATCCGTCGTAGAACCTTGAAGGGCCCATAGGACTTAGGGCCCAGTTTCGGGGCAACTATACTAGGACTAGTAATAGCTGCTCGGAGAAGCTGCTGTTGCTGTTGTTGATCATGTTGTTGCTTCTGCTGCTGCAGTTGTTGCTGTTGTTGGTTGTCTGGCTGCTGTGGCTGAGGGTGTTGCTGCTGCTGTGGACCAAGAAGAGTCTGCTGCTGCTGCTGTTGTTTGCTGGACGGCTCCGTCAAGTCTGGTCGGAGGCTGTTTGTGGTTACAGCCCCTTCTGGATTCCTCTCCCTGTTAGAGAAATACGATTCCAGCAAGCGTCGCAGCTCCCGGACATCGTCTTTGACCTCACGAACCTCCTTGCTGGTTTCTACAAGCCTATGCTCCAGTTTGTGGACCCTGGATGATAGCTGCTGCAGATCTCCCATGACGACCGGCTCTGATACCAGGATGTTATGGGCCCGCGCGTAGGATCTCGTCACGGGTCGGTCCACGGGGAGAACCTCTTGCTTCCCCATAGATGGTTTGGTTTTAAGATACAAAGCAAGGCTGGTGGTAAATGGGTTTACACAAGAGGGAATTAATTATAGAGAGACATTTGCTCTAGTAGCAAAATTGAATACCATATGGGTCCTTTTTATCCTTGGATGCAAATTATTCTTTGGAGTTACATCAACTAGATGTAAAAATGTCTTATTGAATGGAGACTTGCATGAAGAAGTGTTTAAAAATTCCCCATTGGGCTATGATTTCCATCAGAAGGTGTGCAACCTGAAAAAAACCCTCTATGGGTTGAAACAGTTCCCACATGCCTGGTTTGAGAGACTTTGCAGAGCTATGAAAACTATGGGATATGCTTAGAGCAGTGCTGGTCATACCTTATTCATATGAAGGCAAGGCTAGATGCTCACAGTTCTCATAGTGTATATAGATGATATGGTGGTGACTGGGAATGATTCTAATGAGATAAAAAGGTAGAAGTTTTTAGTGTTTGAATTCGAAATCAAGGATCTTGAACCCTTAAAATATTTTCTTGGAATTGAGGCAGCAAAATTTAGTGAAGGCATACATATGTTAGAGAAAATATGCTTTAGACTTGTTGAAGGAGATGTGTCAGGGAGAAAACTAGCTGATACTCCCATAGAATAGAATCATGGATTGCATGAATAAGAAGGTGAGGATTATCATGACAATGGAGGATACTAGAGGTTAGTTGGCAAGTTAATATGCTTGTCTCTCACAAGATCAGGCATTGCTTATGTTGTCCATGTAGTAAGCCAATTTATGCATGCTCCTAAAGTTCCTCATATGAAGGCATCTGAGAGGATTCTTAGGTATTTGAAAACATGTTAAGTGAAGGGTATATCATTCAGAAAACATGATAAACTTGAGGTTGAAGCATTTACAAATGTAGATTGGGCAGACTCTTTAAGGGATAGAAAATCCACATTAGGTTATTAGGCATTTGTTGGAGAGAACCTAGCCACATGGAGGTGTAAAAAGTAAAATGTAGTTGCTATATCGAGTGTAGAAGTACAGACTTGTAGCAGAATTGTTGTGGCTCCAGATTCTATTGATTGAGTTGGGGTTGAAGATTTCTGGTCCTCTCAAACTAAATTTTGATAACAAAGCTGCTATCAAGTTTGCCAACAACCTAGCGCAACATGAAAGGACTAAGCATATTGAGGTGGACAAACACTTTGTATGGGAAAGAATTGTTTTAGGAGATCTATGCATCATTCCATACACTCCTTCAAAGTTGCAGTTGACTGACATTATCACTAAGGGGCTGACTTGTGAAGTTTCATGGACTACTTGGCAAGTTAGTCATGATAGATATCTATGCTCAGCTTGAGGAGTGTTAGTGACTCGCATGTGTGGGTGTGATGATTCGACCTGCCTGGGAATTCTGTCTTTTTGAGATCGGTTATGTAGAAAGCAGTAGAAAGGTGGAAGAAAGAGAGAGAGAGAAGGGAGAAAATCTGGTTCGAACTGGAAGTGTCAACCTGACCTTCTCCCAATCGGCCAGACAGTACTTATATTATTAAAAATAATTGAAAAGACATATGCGCCCTTATTTAAGTGAGGAGCACTAATTCCAACACAACATTACAGATCAGCACCATTAATCTAGGTATAAAGACAGAAATACCCCTACGCTAACACTCCCCCTCAAGCTGGTGAGTATATATCATATACTTCCAGCTTGTTACATATGTAGTCCACTCTTCCCCGACTCAAGCCTTTTGTAAATAAGTTAGCCCACTGGTTTCCGGTATTAACATGTGTAGTGTCTAGCTCTCCATTCAGCACCTTCTCCCTCACAAAGTGGCAGTCAACTTCAATGTGCTTGGTTCTTTCATGAAACACAGGATTAGAGGAAATATGAACCGCAACCTGATTATCACAATAGAGCTTCATTGGAGTGTTGATGTTGTACCCTACTTCGTGTAGAAGGTTCCTCAGCCACACTAATTCACAAGCGGTGTGCGCCATAGCCCTATATTCTGCTTCTGCACTACTTCTTGCCACAACCGTCTGCTTCTTACTTTTCCATGTCACCAGGTTACCTCCCAGGAAAGTGCAATAGCCTATAGTA